CTTCAATATTTTGTCGCTAAAAACATTTATTTGAATCTCTTATCATTCCCGTTTGGGAAATTTGACCCGGATGATATATGTGCTGATTTTATCTCTACAGATCAATTTTGAACTGGATTACTCTAAGGTACGCTCGAAGTAGCAAATTGCGTTTGAAGCAGCGGATCGAACATCCTTTGCAAGAATTAGATTATGAAGTTAAAAGATAATAAAGAGATAAGAAAGATAATAAATCAAACAAGAAGCAAGCAGCCGACGTTAAAAACAGCCGGTGCATACGTGCCTGTTCATGCTGCTGCGGACAACTATAAATGGCCCGCGTAATAGAGACCATAGCGTCAAAAAGGTTCCGAGCAATTTTTTCCCTCATCTCTACATATTTTCCAGTCAACTTGTGGATCAACTTATGTTTCTCGAAGGCCGACTACAATAATACAACGAGAACTCAGTAGTCATAATTTTGTCCGGAATCTGCTTCCAAAGATAGTTGACTATCTCGGAGCTAACGCTTCATGAGGGAGCGATTTTACCCCTGGGAATCGATCCCTGTGGCACCTTCCGCTGCAAGAGGGTTAAATCGTTACCTGAGCTGGCAACATTTCATGGAAGCTTTTTAGACGGGGACAAAGGAACCGCGCTGCAGACTTAAAAGCGGTGCATATAATTGGCTGGAGCCTACTTAACAGTCAGTTCATATCTGATTTGTGGCGTAGCTTCACTGTACGCAGCATGCTTCCCTTCACCGCCTAGACAGCTTCCAGGAAATCGTGTGATAAGAAGATGCAATAAATCCAATTGTAAACGCAGAAAGAACAAATAAAATTTCAAGAAGTAGTTAGGCTTACCGATACGATTGCGGTACATTGTGCTCTCTTAGGTAATCCATCTAAAATGACAAAATTGCTCTTCAAAAAAAAGCTATGACTAAGACGGGAGAATCCGAAGAATTGAAAGAAGGACCTTTGATCTATGAGTTTGATTGTCACACTTGAAAAACCTAAGAAAAGTGAAACTTTGGGGCGCAATTATATCAATAAGGAGTAAAGCTTCGGACGCTGCATTGCTTCTCAAGCGCTTCATAATTCAGACGAGCTCGGGTTCCGACGTTTTGAACTTTACCATAAATACTTGGCGTTTGAGCCAGCTAGGCTCGTTTGAAATGATAGACAAGCTTCATTGAGAATTTATCATATCAATTGTATAATCCTGGTCACTAAGACAACAAAAAAGACTTGAGCAGT